TTGACATCCTTCGGAAGACTCGTGTACCTAGGAAGGTAAAACAAGCTTGAACCATTGTCTGCATGTTCTGCCAAAGCTGAGTGAAGAGGTCTTTCATTGCTTGGAATCCTGTGATAGGTATGCTATGACTCTGGTTAAATATAGGGCAGTTCTAATAAAATCTATAGTCCTTGTGAAAGCTCAAATGTAGTTTTCTACATTTACTTGGAGGCCTAAGGAGTTAAGAGGTCTAAGTAGGGATAGGGATGTTATCTGTACTTCTTTATAGAACTTCCACATCAGCCGCCAGTCATCGAGGTGTGGAACACTGACAAACCCTAGTGATGTACATGAGCTGCCACTACTAACGTCATCTTTGTGAATTCCCTCAGTGCCACTGAGAGGCCAAAGAGAAGCACTCTGTATTGGTAGTGGTCTAGGGCCTATGGCAAATTTCGGGAAGCTGTGTGCAGCGTGGATGTCTTTGTGGAAATAAGCATCCTTTAAACTGAGAACTGTGAACCAGTCACCCTTGTTTAGTGAGGGAATTATAAAGACCAGCATGATCATTCTGAACATCAGTGGCAGATGAAGACATTCAGCTGTTTGAGATCTTGGATGGGCTTCCAGCCTCATTGCTTCTTGGGAATAAGGAAATATCTTAAGTAAAATTATTTTTCCCTGTGCTGAAGATGTACTGGTTTTATGGCTCCCAAGCGTGACAGGGACTCTACAAGACTGAGCATCCTCTCATAAGATGGGTCCCTGAAGAGGGATAGAGAAATGAATGAATGGGTAAACACAACAGGTGGACCAACTTGCAGCTCCTGAAAGTCCCATCAAAAAGATTCCTTAGTGGGAGGCTGGAAAGAGAATAAAGGGAGGACATTGTGTTTAAGAGGCTGAGTTCTCTGGTGTTTCCTAAGCAGCTTAATGGCCCTTTGATGGTAGAATGGTTGAGGAGCTGGTTGTTGTCTGTAATACAGAGTCTTGGGGTATTTCCTCTGCAGTGCTGGAGTATGTAGAGATATCTGCAAGTGAATGGTTGCTCGTAAGTCTTTGAGAGACTAGAAAGATTCACCTGTTTTCTAACTGAATAGGTTATTTCCTTCAGAAGGCAGATCCTCCACTGTGGATGGACTTATTTGGAAAATCCAGAGGACTGGAGCCACAAGGCCCATCTCATGACTATGGAAGTTGCCAGCAAGCGGGAGCTGAATTTGATGTGTCCATTGAGGCCTGGAGGTTGATCTAGCTAGCAATTTACCTTCATTGATAATTGGTTGGAAATGAGGTCTCTCTTGAGGGAGTTTTGTTTGTGAATTCCAAGAACTTACTGTAATTAATAAAATCATACTTCAGCATTCAAGCTTAATAGCTTGCTACATGGAACTGTAAGTTCCCCACAGTGAAGTTCTCTTTCCTAAAGCAGTCTAAATGTTTCGTCTCCTTATCAGTGGGTGCCGATTTGGGTGTTTGTTTCCTTTGGAGACAGCTTACAAAACTAAAGAGAGTTCAGAATGGGGTGTTAAGGTGGCAGATTACTAGTTCCTCAGGTGGCACAAAATATTTCTTCTCTGTCTTTTCAGAGTGGGAGCATAAGTGGCTGCAGTATGCCAGGCCATCATGGCTCATTCAAAGATGGCCTCATTAAGTGGCAGTGCCACCTTACTGGGACTGACACTCTGGAAAATATCCAGTCGCTTATATAGGGTGCCCTGTACTTCCTCCAGGGAGCTGTGGAGTGTATCCGTATTTCTACTCAGGGAGTCCTGAAACTGTCTGTAGTTAGGCAGTGACAATGAGGCAGGTGTGATTGCTTCATTTGGGGACAAGTATGATAACCTCACAGTGGGAAATGGTGCCAACTAGTCAGCTTGCTCCTCTATTTTAGATTGTTTCTTAGGGGTCTGAGGTTCTCCCCTGTATGGGGAAAAAACTGTCTTGACTCCTGATGTGACCTTATAGATTCAAGCTGTCACATAGGGACCCTGGGACCCATATAAGGCCAGTATGAAGGGATGTAGCGGAGAAGAGGTGATCCCTGTGGAGAAGAGTACTGCTGGTCTTGAATTGGGCAGTCCCCCCTATGAGAGAAGGAAGGTGCTCATGAGATCATGGAGCCTCTGTGAGGGCTGACCCCTATCTTGGGGGAGTTGGGGAAGCTCTCCCACTGACTCTGAACTCAGAGGAAAAGGAAGCTTCTGTATCAGTTGGCAGTGCCATTGGTATGGGACATCTTACTGTGCCTCAACTGTACCAGTGAGTTTAGGGACATCCCTGGTTAGGACTGGATCTGACAGGGGCTTTGTCTACACTACCGAGGTAAGTCAACCTAAGTTACGCTACTCCAGCTACACGAATAATGTAGCTGGAATCGACGCAACATAGGTCGACTTACCAGGGGTGTCTTCACTGTGCTGCGTCGACGGGAGATGCCCCCCAGTCGACTTACCTTACTCTTCCTGGGGAGCTGGAGTACCGAGTCGACAGGAAAGCACTCTGCTGTTGATTTAGCGTCAATCTCCCGGTACTGAAGACAAGCCCAGTATAGGCGATTCTGGGCTCGTATAGATAGATACACTACTGTGGAGGACATTACTAACTAGATACTGGAGAGTGGATTGAGCTTCTGTCTCTTGGTGGCACCAGTGTTCTTGTCTTCAGATATGCCACTGTCCTCAGTACCAATTCCTTCCCTCTCAGCACTGGTACTCTTTGCCAGTACTGAGGATGGTCCTGCCCCTTCAACTAGAGACAGTTTCGGAGGCAGGTTTGCCCCTGGGTGGCAGGACACCAGTACCATACTCCTCGTGAACTCCTGACACTCCCATACTAGCACAGAGACTCACCAGACTCTGAGGTATCAGGGGGGACGTCCTCTCTTTTTGCGTAAGAACTTGGGAAGGGAATTTCTCATATTTCCTGTGGGAGTGCTTGCTCTTACCACCCTCACACCTGTGGGAGACAGTCTTTAACCGTGCTCTGATTATCCACCGAGCCAGAGGCTACCATGCTCAGAGGTACTTCTTGGTGTCTCTGGCCAATGCACAGAGGGGTCTGACAGGTCAGGAATGGACTGTAGGCTCATTGCATGGTCCCTGAGGAATATTTTAAGCTGAATTCATGGGCTTGACAGGTTCATCTAGGAAAGGTCTGGCAGATATTGCACTTGGAGGGTATATGAGCTTCACCAAGGCAACAGAGGCACATATTGTGGTCCTCGCTGACCAAGCAAGCCTGGGAGCAGGCCAGCAGATCTTGAATCTAAGGATCCTGGGCTTACTGGGGACCTTCTACAGGTTGGTGTCCAGATACGGGGGACCCCCATAGCCTTAAGAATTACTAATAATCTTTTCATCAATAGCCAAATGCCAGTTTTATTTCTCAGAAGTTTAATTTGGTAAATTTGCCTATATAGTATTTAAAAAAATAATTTTAAAATGTTAAAAAAAAGTTACCCTGTATCCAAGATAACTAAACCAATAAGTTAATTGCAAATTAAGAGTCAGATTCAGTTAGTGAGCTATAGAGGCTTTGCACTGCTCTGTTTCTTGCTCATGTATGAAATCTAATTATTAAAAAAGCAAAATTCACACACAAAAATTAACCTAGGGAGAGATTGGCTAACTGTTCTAAAAGTGTGAAACTGTCTATACTAGGTGCTAAGTGATATCTCAAATTATGCTAGGTAACAAGTATTAATAAGGTTAAAACAACACGCCCCTTTTCTCTCCCCCGCCCCGAGTCTAGACACAGCATTAGATCCTGTAGCGCTTAAACATTTAACTGCCTCAGAAAGCACTACAGTCCACAAGTTATGAATACGCTGTTAGTTGTTCTGCCAGACATTACTGTCTCTTGTCTCAAAAGCTCTCTTGAGGAATTCAGAGTAACAGCCGTGTTAGTCTGTATTCGCAAAAAGAAAAGGAGTACTTGTGGCACCTTAGAGACTAACCAATTTATTTGAGCATGAGCTTTCGTGAGCTACAGCTCACTTCATCAGATGTAAGGAATGTAATGATGAGGAATGTAAGCCACACAGGCTAAGTATCCCAGGGGGCATTTGCAGACTCTGCAAGAATCTCAGTCACAGACTACAGCCACAGCTACAGCGTTGCTGCTATGCCATTGTAGAGAAGACATTTCCCACATCAACAGAAGGGGTTTTTCAACTGTTGTAAGTAATCCACCCCTGAGTGGGAGCAGCTAGGTAGACTGAAGAATTTTCCCATCAATTTAGCTGCATCTACACCTGGCATTAGGTCAGCATAGCTTTAGAACTGAGGACTGAATTTTTCACTGACAGCACTAGCTACATTGACCTCACTTAAGTATTGACCAGGCCCACGAGAAAATCTTTTATGATGTTTTCCAGGAACTCTGTAGATTCTATAAAGCCAAGAGGGTTCAGAGGTTTGAAAAAAATTCTTATCAGGCACCTCATAATAAATGAGCTAAGCTAAGGCCTTGTCTACACAAAAACATTATGTCGACATAACTACGTCACTCAGGTGTGAAAAATCCACATCCCTGAGTGGCATAGTTAAGCCAACATAAGTCCCTGTGTAGAGAGCGCTAGGTCAACAGAAGAATTCTTCCATCAACCTAGCTACTTGGGGAGAAAGATTACTTATGCCAACGGGAGAACCCCTCCAGACAGTGTAGATAGTGTCTACTTTGAAGTGCTACAGTGGTGCAGCTGCAGTTGTAGCATTTTAAGTGTAGACAAGCCCTAAGATGTTTAAAAAAATTAGATCGTTTCAAGGGGAGAGAGGAGGAGTGAAAAACCCAGATGTTCTCAACTTCAAAGTTTACAAAGATCTTGTCCAAATCCCCTCTGCACCTTTCCCAGCTCCCACATTTTTTTCTGGATTATAGCTTCTAGAAATTTCAGGAAGCTTAGTTTTGGCAATGTTAAGAGGCAGCTTTGCAACAAAAGGTTTATAGCAAAGCTAGCCACAATCTCAGTTATGAAATGACTTCCCTACATAGTGTCACTGTTCTGGCCAAATACTTACCAGTGCAGGCCACTGTGCAAGTGAGACCTGAGTTCCCTGAAGCAGAACTGGATCACTTCGAGGAGCCCATACCAGTGACCCTTCCAGCAGCAACACTATGACCTCTTCAGCATGAACTTTCACCCAGGCATGTTGATTCCAGTTGCAGCCATCAAACTCCACAAAGATCTACGAAAACATATTTAACATGTTTCAGACACCATAGGTGGGTGGAAATCCCACAAACCCACATGGGTAAAGACTTCAACTTTAGTCAGGAAAATTAGTATAACTTGAGGACACATGCTTCATATCAATACTAGATTGTTGTGTCTGCATAGCTACCACACACATTACCGAACAGAAATCAGAGAAGTGCATAGTAACTACAGAAAACTGGAAAGAGTTCATTTCCTTGTTCTCCCCCACACCAAAATACACCAATTTCAGGTATTGTATCTTTCCATGAGAGATGGAAGACATGTTCCAGTTGCCCCTTTACTCCAAATATCCAGGTGGAAGTAACACACTCCAAACAGGCCTCTCAAAGATCATAAAACTGGAAGGGACCTTGAGAGGACATCTAGTTCAGTCCCCTGAACTCACGGCAGGACTAAGTATTATCTAGAGCATCCCTGACAGGTGTATGTCTAACCTGCTCTTAAAAATCCCCAATGACACAGATTCCACAACCTCCCTAGGCAATTTATTCCAGTGCTTAACCACTCTGACAGTTAGGAAGTTTTTCCTAATGTCTAACCTAAACTGCCCTTCCTGCAATTTAAGCCCATTGCTTCTTGTCCTACCCTCAGAGGTTAAGAAAAACAATTTTTCTCTCTCCTCCTTGTTACAACCTTTATGTACCCGAAAACTGTTTAGTCTGGGGAAGAGAAGACTGAGAGGGGACATAACAAACCTAGTGTTTTCAATCTTCCCTCATAGGTCATGTTTTCTAGACTTTTAATCAAAGATAAGGATTTTAAACTGCTTTCAATCCTACCCTCCCATTCTAAATTTCCAACAGATTGGCCCGACAGTTATGATAAATTGTTACAACTGCTATTCATCATATCCATAGAGCACACTCTAAACAAGAAGTTCTCCTCCTACATTGGGTGGGCACTGCTATTCCATTCTCTAAAATATAGGCACACACTTCTGTCAGTGTTTGGGATTACCCAGATTTATTTACTCACTAGAAACTTTGTAATATATTAAATCTCCTCTACAATACAATTGCAGTGCACTTTAACATATTAACCTCAACCTCTCAGGTAGCATCCCTGTTTTTCAGCCTGGTAATTGGAAGTACAGAGACACTGAAGTGACTAGTCTGAAGTTACACAATGAGTGGTGAAGACAGGAACAGAATCCAGGAGTCTCAGTCCCTAATCTAACCACTAAAAGGATACTGCCTTCTGTAACGAAGCGGCCTCTAGCGGGACACAACTGAGAGTATCAATTCAGGACAAGTTGCTTAGAGCAGGGCAGTTAATGGCCCAAGGCTGGGTTTCCTTTATTACTAAGGCACACCAAACCAGCCAAACAGAGAGGACTTTGGTTTTACCCGACTGGCTAACCAGAAGTCATACAAGCAATTCCCTCAGATACGCCAGTTCCCTTGTATCACCATCAGCACCGCTCCTTATGGGGATGACTGGTTATGAAAACCAATACGCCAGTAAAAGAAAAAAGGATCTCCCGATCCCAAGGACCAAGCCCCAGACCCAGGTCAATATACAAATCAGATTTTACCAACAAATCACGCTGTTGTCAATCCTTTAGAATCTAAAGGTTTATTCATAAAAAGAAAAACATAGATGAGAGCTAAAATTGGTTAAATGGAATCAATTACATACAGTAATGGCAAAGTTCTTAGTTCAGGCTTGTAGCAGTGATGGAATAAACTGCAGGTTCAATTCAAGTCTCTGGAGTACATCCACAGCCTGGATGGGTCATTCAGTCCTTTGTTCAGAGCTTCTGTTTCTAGCAAAGTTCCTCCAAAGGTAAGAAGCAGGATTAAAGACAAAATGGAGGGATTTCCAGGGTTTTTTATATCCTCTCCAATGTGGAAGGACACCCCTTTGTTCTTACTGTGGAAAATCACAGCAGCAAGATGGAGTTTGGAGTCACATGTCCATGCATGACTCAGTTCTTTTCAGGCAGACATCATTGTTTACATGTTAGTTTGAATGTTCCCAGGAAAGCTCAGATGTGGATTGGCGTCTCCCAAAGTCCATTGTCAGTTAAGTATTTCTTGATTGGGCACTTGTTCAGAATAGTCCTTTCTCGAAAAGCTGACCAAATGCTTCACTGAGGCTACTTAGAATCAAACACTGAGATACAAGTACATAGCCAATATTCATAACTTGAAATATAAAAATGATACACACATACAGACAGCATAATCATAACCAGCAAACTATAACCTTTCCCATAGACACCCCACTTGACCTCCTCTGTACAAGACCTGGTACAACCAAAGGACCCTGGTTGCAACAATGATCTATACAGTCACAGTTCATGTCAATAACGTCACACCTTCTCAAAATCAAACACTAATGCTGCTGCATTCCAAGCTTTTGGGTATGTCTACACTACAGGGACTATACGAGCATAGCTAAGGCGCCATACCCCTAGTGCAGACACAGCTTATGTCAATGGAGGGGATTTTTCCATCTGCACAGTAACACCACAACCCTTCCAAGCTAGGTTGATGGAAGAATGCTTCTGTGAGTGTAAAACATCAATGGTATGTTGTATATTACAATCAAAGACTTTTACTAATTAACAAAATATAACTGAGGGCCACCAACAAAGGACAGAAGTTGGAGATCACCCACACTTCCCACGCCTCATACCAAAAAAGCTCCTGAGTTTCACAGGAGAAATATTTGTAGGTGCTCTTCTGAAGAATTCCTAGACCCTCTTAGAACCTAAGAATTCTACATCACTACAGTTAACTATGCATATATAGGCAGCCCTTTTATTTAGGACACAGATATTAGTCAGAGTGATGTGTGCGTGCAAGCTACCTTCCTCAATTCAACCTATTAAAGCCAGTTTTCACTGGAATACTGAATGGCACTTCTACTCTACAAGAATTTTCACCCTGCCAAATTTCTACTTTAGAAGAAGGGCTGTTAAAGGTTGCCAAAATAATTTTTCCCATTGTACATTCTCTCCCCCACCCACCATCATTTTCAGAAAACTGAATTTTGTAAATATTTTTTAGAAAAATCATTTCTCTGGTGGAGATCAAGGCTGGAAAATTCTAGCTCAGAAGGTGAAAAAAGTTTCAAGAATTTATGAGCTACTGAAAGAGCGGTGGGAATAGTTGCTATTTCTGACACTTTCTCAGTGTTTTCCCCTCTTCCCTTTTTTCTTCATCTTTGGATATTTAATTTATACATGTGCACAGTCTGTACAGTTTTTGTATGTAACTATAGAGAACCACACAACTTTTGGTTCTGAACCAGTATCATATTATTTTTCTCATGAAGATCTGCTAGCAATCTTCTCCAAGGCCAATCATGCAAGGAAGAGATGGCAGAGGCTACCATTCCAAACAGTGGAGCACAACGAAGAGGAAGCTAACCAGCCTGAGGCCAACAGGTTGTGCTCTCAAGTGTCCACATTCAAAGCATAGAAAATAAATTCTTTATTTTGTCCCAAATGGCGGGCATTGAGTATGCATAAGATGGAGAATGACTTGTAAAGACTGCCTGAAAAACTTTTGTGGATTGATTGCTATGTGTGGATATAACAAAGATACACACACACACACACCAATAATCATATTTTCAGACTATTTGCAAAGTGATGTATAATGCAGATTCACATGGAGGCTGTTCAAGACAGCAAGAGCTGCAAAGAAGGAAGCAGATGCCAATGACATGGAGATTGTGCAAAGAGAAGAGGAGGCTTTTGCAAGGCAAAGAGAGGAGAGAAATAAAGACAAGGGCAAGACGATCTGAGAACAAACATAATATGCTCTTTGTATGTGAGAGGTGAAAGGCAGCAACATACCACACATGCTGGAATATCAAGAAGCCATTGTGAGGGTGCTATAATAATTGAGAAGTTTTGGGTGGTGTTCCCCACCCCGCACACACACCTTAATTTGAATATTTATTACATCTGGACTCTTCACTTATTCAAATATATATTTCAAAAATGTTTTCAGAGGTTTTTAAGACACTTAGATCTCCTGTCTTCAGTTCTGAGTTGGAAGGAGAAAAATATTAAATATGCTAAGGCCTTGACTACATTAGCCTTTATTCTCCCAAAGTTTCTCACCATTTCTACCACTGATGGGGTTACTAGTCTAGACAAGGACTCCTGCTGCCAGTAGCATTTTTACACTGTAACTCTGAGCAGAGCAGGTATACCACCGCCAGTGGTGTCTTGTTTATACTACCCGATTGCTGGTACTGGGAAATTTTGTGGAAAGTGCCTAGTGTACACAAATCCTTAGCAAACTACAGAAATCCACTGCTGCTGCTTGGAGGGAGTCAAGCAAAGACTTGCTCAAGTTCCTGAATTCCCCACCCTATGGAATAAGTCTCCCTTAGGCTCTATCCACACTAAACAGTTTCTAATAAAGCTTATTCTACCAAGGATTATGGGGTACACAATTTTTGCAGTGTAGAGACAGCCTGATGGACAAACCTGTATAACCCTTTGTTTAGTTTATTGCAACTAACGGGGAACACTAAAGAGCCATTAAAGAACTAAAATTGAGCTTGTGCCCCTTTTTTGCATCTTTGTGATTGTTCTGGGCCAACGTGTTTGAAGCACCGCAGGCCGGCAGAGGTACTCTGAAAAACAAGACCCACACGCAGCTAAGCAGCGAGTTATTGGCTTTATTGAAGGTTAGTGACACATCCGCAACGGGGACTCCAAGCGTTGCTGTCACAGAGGCGGAAAACCCAGCACACCGGAGCTTTGCCTGGGACGGAGTCCGACGAAGGGGTAAACAGCGAGCCCTAATAAGCAGTACACAAAAGCAGCTCATGAATATATAATAAGGTACTTTCCAACAGGGGCTTTCCACTGCCTGCACAGGGCAGATAGAACTGGCCGAAACCGGTTAGAGTTGGTTCTCCATGTCCTACAGTGACCGGGCGGCCTCGAGAAAGCGGAAGTTCCCTAGCTAGGCCATAAAGTCTTCCGCAGTCCCTTACAGT